TTTATAAAAAAAAAACTTGAAATGATGAATTCGATCACTCCCACCTCTTTCTTATCGGGATGACATATATGTTTTTGTGGAGAAAATTACGCAAGAAATTCTTTCCTTCTGCTATCGACTTGAGCAACAATAAAACGAGTACTTGCAAGGCGTTAATGAGAACAATATTGTCGTTCATTCTTGGAATGTGCCACGCACTCGACTCTATTCAGGATCATCGATGCATAGATGCGCCTTTTACATTAAAATGGCTTGCACTCAACGGCTGCGCTCGCTGCGAATGACCATTTTTGTCATGTTCACTCTGAAACTATAAAGTACACCCGGCTTCGGAACATTAAGCATTATGACTAAGTTAATCACGATGTGAATGCTCGAAACTACTAACATGAACACCATGAAAATAAGCTCTCTTTCTCAAGTGATAGCGCAAGTAAGTAAAAATTCGAAGATTTCTTTGGCACGGAGTGAAGTCAAGCGTGGCGTATTGGAGAGCATTTAGTCGCTTTAATGAACACACTGTTACTCGCCGCCTTGCAAAGGCCAATGATTAGTGCTCCCACTTGGCTGTAGTGCACTGTTAAAGAAGCGACTACGATTAATAGGGAGCGCATCGGTAAAACGTATGCACATCAGGAAGCGGTTACTTGGCTGCCAAGGAAGTTGGTAGTTCAGACGAGCTGTCCAGCAGCTGCCCAACTGGGGCAACTCGATGGAGCGTGGTTTGGCATGGTGCCACCAAACGCGTTGCGGTGAACTCGTTCATACGTCCGCTTTCTGAGCTGTTACCTGTTCATGAGTGAAAACCAACGGCCAAAAAGGGGGTCCCGCGTTTTCTTGACGGATTTCCCTTTTTTCGCCACTAGCTACCATTGAGTACCACCACGTTTCCTCTAAACCCTTCTGGAACATGATATCGGAATCGTACTTTTTGCGATCTCCTGCGATAATGGCTTGATCTTGGATTTAAAGCCTGCTTTTCATCTTTTGTTGAAGTTTTTATAAAATTTTTAAGTGCGCGTGGCGGACAAGTGTGAATCCACTGGAATCAACTGCACCTTACCAACGACGACCACCCGTCCAACGACAACGACCATCGCAAGATTTACAAGCGCTTTCCCGCCCCGGATGGGTGCAGCATCACAGGCCCCCACCACAAAGCCCACCCCACCAACGGTAACAAATTATTGCTTTCGAAAAATGACTCCAAAAATTGGAACAACATTTCTAGAGGAGGCATCGTACTCGTCCATTCACCCCTCCACTGAATGGATTCCGTAGAACGCAAAGCACACCAGTGCGAAGAACGACCCCTACAGCAACTACGGTAGCTCTTAACGCCATTTGTGCCTTGAAGGTCCCTCCTCATGCTCACTTAGTAGATCTATTATATTATTTCAGACAACTCGGAAACCCACCACTACAACCACTACTACAACCACTACGACCACCACCACCACTACAACGACGACGACAACTACTCCGGACCCATGTCAAGACTTAGACAAGCATTGCTCTTTTTGGGCGACGTTAGGAGAATGTGAATCGTAAGAACACTTCAAGCTAGCAACTCTTTCTTTCCATAGGAAATCTTATATAAACTGTAAAAGAGCGAAAGCGTTTAACGAGATTTTTTCATATCTTCTTCGCAAATCTTGCATAAACCTGTCACTTCCAGTTCCATCAAAGTCCAATTTGATCGGAACGTAGAGCCTCTTTGTTGCGAGAGTTTTTTTGCCTTGGGAGTGAAAGGGAGAAAGGGGTACTCAAAAAAAAACAGTTCAACAGTCTTTATATTAAGCAGTCTCACAAAGTCCTTTCAATCATTGGGTGGAAATTTATAGAAATAATGATTCCACGCTCCAAAATAGGGGAACATCTTGGCTTGCTTTATTTGTTAACTGCTGTTTTAACTGCCGCAGTTCGCGTTGCGAATGTTTCACAAGAATGCTGGGTTGTGAACAAAACTTTCGCCCCAGGCGGGACTAGAACCCGCACCTCTCGCTTTCCGGGCAAGTGCGCTACCAGTTACGCTACCGGGGCACCATTTCGCCCTAACGCAGCCTGAGTATGGTGCCTCGATAAAGTATCTTGCCTGGTAAGCGAGAGGGGAGGACTGCGTTTCGCCTGGGGCGAAAGTTTTGTTCATAATTTAGCATTCTTGTAGAACATTTCGGATTCCTGTCTCGCAGTCATCCTTCTCAATAGTGTAGACCTCCAGCAACTCTGGTAGGTGACATATCAGACTAAAAAAACCAGTACTCTGATACAACTCGTTTATCTCACTTCCTTCATTTCAGAAAATCATCTTGTTCTCTAACTGCAAAAACATGAAATTTGCGATTTCGCTATTCCAACGAGGAGTACTAGCATTTTTAAAGAATCAGCAACGCAAAATTTTCTGTGATTAGTAGCAGTACTATTACGTTGGATGGAAATAATTCGCTGTTTTCTTTTTACTCAATAGTTTATTAACAGACCAGACAAAAACAGCACATGTTCAATCAGCAAACATTCTCGAACACTCCCCTCAGCTACCTTGCTTTCACATAGGCTTCAGTGATTCTGCAAGCAGAATCAGCAGCATTCGGTTTATAACTCAACTCATCAGTGCACATCTTTACTCATTTTCCCCGGTCCCTCAGTTGTTTTGGGGTCAAATTCGAGATTTTCGTCGGCAGTACCCCTCATTTCCATGCAAACCACACTCATCGTCAGTGTGAGCGGGGCTCCGCCTAGTTGATGATGATA